GTGTTGCTAGTAGCTCACTGGAATTGACCTTTTCCCAACCATTTATGTCTCTCTTGCTTGTCAAAGACAAGTAAATAGCTAATTTTATACTCTTAAATGACATTCTTAGAGAGTGATAAACTTAAATTAATCAACATTCCTTGAGCTATTTGTATATGTTTGATCTAGAAAATAGTACAAAATTGATATAACATTAGAACATCCCCATTGGTTGTCCACTTAAGGTGGGCATCAAGAGAGAAAAAGAAAAAGTATTTGAAAAACAATAAAAGATGGTACTTTACAAGAGATAAATTCATAAATCTAATGACCAAGTCATGGCCATGACTTTTGGCCAAGGGTGGACAAACAATATGAATGTATCTTGTCATGTTATGAGTGTGATGTTATTTTTTATTTTTTTTGATAAATATATATGATATTAGATTAGCATAATTGGGAATGGAGATTGTGCATAGATGAGGTGGAAGAGAAATATTAATAAAAAGTTGATGGCTACCATTGGCTTAGGCAACCAATGATTTTGCTCTTAAAGATAAGCTATACACGGTGTTATAAAAAATAAATCCATAGTAAAATAGATGATTATTTGTTAAATAAATCCACAAGATAGGAGGACCATAATGCTCGTACACCTTTTCAATCCCGATAAAAAAAATGTAATATGATGTAATTGTGTTATGTTTAATTCACTTGATTTGATCTGGATTTACCGATCTTGATCATATTTGATTTCAAATTTGACTATTTTAAAAAAGTTATCAAATAAGATGTTATATTTGTGTTGTATTAATGCATACTTTTAAGAAATCTTCATTATTACATTTTATTACGGAATTACAGATATAAAGTGAAAATATATGGTTCGATTCTGATCTAATCTAGTATGATATGATTTAATTATTTCTGCAATTAGCAAGTATTTGCTTAAATAAGTTGAATTGAAAATACATAGCCTTAGAGTAGATAATATAAAGTGAAAATAAAGTGAAAATATATGGTTCGATTCTGATCTAATCTAGTATGATATGATTTAATTATTTCTGCAATTAGCAAGTATTTGCTTAAATAAGTTGAATTGAAAATACATAGCCTTAGAGTAGATAATATAAAGGAAAATTTAACAACAACGAACCAACCTTTGCTCCATTCTCCCAAAATGGACCAACCTTTAAATCTTCCCAAAATAAACACAAGTTTGTATTTTTTTCTCCCATATTAAACCAATATGACTTGTGACCTGAACAACCGGTCACTTTTTTATTTTCCTTTAATTACCTTTTTTAAATTAACAAAATAAAATTAAAAAAACAAAAAATAAATAAATAAAAACTCAAATCCCCACCCAGGCACCCGCTGCCAGCCCCTTCTCCCCCCTTCCCCCCACCATGAAACCACTACAACTTCTCCCATATCTCCTCTTTCTCCTGCTCCTTCTTCTTCCCTCCCAATCTCTCTCCTCTCCGCCACCTCCAACCATCATCTGCATCATCGGAAGAGAAATCTCCGGTGCATCAGTCTCCCATTTCCTCCGCAAATACTCGCCGGAACCTTCCCCAATCGGCGCTATACATGTCTTCGAGAAAAACTCCGTTGTCGGAGATCGTATAGCTACTATCACCAATCACCATTGCTAACAATACCTTTGATGCTGGTGCTTCAATTCTCCACCCAAAGAATTTCCATGCCTTGAAATTAACTGAGCAGTTGAAGAAGAAGGTTTTTGAAGATGATGATTGTGAGTCTTTAGGGATTTGGGATGGGGAGAAGTTTGTGTTTATGACATGGAGTTCGAATTGGGGGTTTTCGATTTTTAATAAGGTCGTTTCGTGGCTTAATTCATTTAAACTTTTGTGGCATTTCCGGTTGCGAGAAAGGGGGGTGGGGCGGTGTAGGGGGCAGCGGAAATGGGGAAAGAGGAAGGCTGGTCTGCTGTAGGTGGGAGAGAGGGAGGGATGGTGGTTTCTGGCGCCAGGAAATCGGGTTGGGCGCTGGCAGGGGAGGAGGGGCTGGCAGTGGTGGGGAAAGCGTGGTGTAGGAAATTTTTCAAACTCAACTTTGAGCCCCATTGTGATCATGTTTTTAAGTATGGTAGTGTCCAAAGGGAAAGAAACTAGAGATAAAAGAGTCGCCAACATGTTTTAGGAACTTGTAAACCGTTCACGGGTGTGAATGTTACACCTCATTCACAATCACGGAGATTGCTAACTCCATAGTGGTCCGGAACCATGACTGGATATTCGAGGATGATAGTACGAATCCAACCTAAAAGAGATTGAACCCACCCTAAATAGGTCTCTACTTAATTCTTATGATATTCATATGCGCCCCACTGTGATCATGCTTTTAGGCATGGTAGTGTCCAAAGGGAAAGAAACTAGAGATAAAAGAGTCGCCAACAAGTTTTAGAAACTTGTAAACTGTTCACGGGTGTGAAGGTTACACCTCATTCACAATCACGAAGATTGCTAACTCTAAAGTGGTCCGGAACCATGACTGGATATTCGGGAATGATAGTACGAATCCAACCTAAAAGAGATTGAACCCGCCCTAAATAGGCCTCTACTTAATTCTTATGATATTCATATGCACTTTCCGATCAACATACATACAATAAATTAATCCTAAACCTGTTTAATCGACGTTGGTTGATTATTAATGCACAAATAAATCTATTATTGGCGATCACTTGAATTAAAATTATACTAACCTAAAACAAATTATTAATTATTTGATTAGGCGTGATTTCAAGTACAAATTCCCTTTAAACCTGCAGAAAAGGGCGTGATCAAGCAATAACAATAAATCATGAATAATCAAGCAATGTAATAATTGACACAACAATCATCATCATCATCATAATCAAAACACGATTAGCAAGATCCTAGGCATGATACTAAACGGATTAATAACAAACCCTAGCATGTCACTAATAAAAATCAAAGCATTAACCTAAACATTATACTAGAAACTTGATATTAGAAATATTAGTTAACACCCTAAACATGATACTAGGAATCAAAATCAACATCCTAACATGATTTCTATATCAAAAGAATAATTAAGTAATTGAATTACTTACTTTGATGCCTCGTATTTTTTCTATCAAAACAATACACATGTTAGTAACTTCAAGAAAGATTAAATCAAATAAGAATTGAAATATAGATTAGGGATCAAACCCTCAGAATTATCAACCTTTCACGTCGAGGTCGAAGGCAACTTCGAGATTGGGTAGGAATATTCAAGGCTCGTGAAGGAGGTATGGTGTTTGCAATCAAGGATGTGTATTAGGACGTGTTTAGGCTAAGGCTTAGAAAAGAATCAACAGAGAGAGAAAGTATTAGATGATGATTGTTGGTGATCAAACTTGTTGATGATTGAAAATGGGGGAAAACGACCTTTATATATAAGGAAAAAAGAGGGTCGAAAGATCAGAAAAGAGTCAGAATTCAATTCAAAGTAAAACAGGTTCCATCGCGGAGCGGACAGCTTTGTCGCGGCACGTTAATCCTGCAATTTTGCGTTTTTTTTTATCATAACTTTTGATCCAGAAATTGAAATAAGATAAATAATATATCGTTGGAAAGCTCTAGAAGTCTACTTTCCAACCCAATTAGAACCAGACTGATATCTTTTGTAGAATAAAAGATATGATTGAAATAGTGAAACAATGTCAGTTTTGGATAAAGTTTGGTATTTCATTCATATCTTTTTCGTTATAGCTCGGAATTGGGATTATGATATATCATTGGAAAGATAATTTCAAGGGCTATCCAATAATCCAAGATTTGGATGAAAATCATGGGGCATAAAAATCATATCTAAACGTCTTTAAATTCAAATAGAACAAGGATTTTCAAAAAGAGGAGTTGTATTCAATTTCAAACTCTTTGATCTTCATCTTTCGGAAAGGATAGATTAGAACCTTCTAAAGACTTCTAGAAGTTAATAAGGAATCCTAATTGTTTTAGGATTGGAAATAAGGTATTTGGACTCTCACATGACCATTGGGTCGTAGGTAAGGTAGACCTAAGTCCGGATTGGGCTCAGTTTAGTAATTTGGCCATAACTTCTTCGTTATAAGTCGGATTTGGGCTTATAATATATCGTTGGAAAGATCTTTTCAAACCCCATTCAACTAAACAATAATTGGACCAGGATTATGGACCAAAATAATCAGGTTTGGACGTTTTATAAAGAGGACATGAAATGAATGATTTTGTGTTTAAGGGCACGAAACGAATGATTTTGGTCTAAAACATTTTAGGAAAGGTTATAAATGGTCAAGGCTAAAGGGAAATTCACGAGACTCTTCAACTCTTTACTTAACTCGATAATCAAAGACGTGAAAGGTACTTGTCACGGGTTTGGTTTTTGGGGAGATACAATCAGGTGTCTACAGGTGGGGTTTTGTGACAATGATACTCGATTATCAATTTCTTTTTTAAAAAAAATAACCAATGAGGAGACGACACGTGGATAGCAACCTGGTATAACAGGTCAACTTACCTTCTTGGTTTAATATGGGAGAAAAAAATACAAACTTGTGTTTATTTTGGGAAGATTTAAAGGTTGGTTCATTTTGAGAGAATGGGGCAAAGATTGATTTATTGTTGTTAAATTTTCCTAATATAAATACTCCTAAAGTTCGAAGTCCTAATTCGTATTACTTGCATTGCATAAAGTCATAAAGGTATCATGAGGAAAATGGTAACCGCATGGGTAACTTGCCACAATGGATGATTGCAACAGGAGTATCATACGAAAAGCAAAGCACCATTCTTAGAGATTCCTTCTTTATACCCGTTATGAACTAAACAACCCTCAAAATAGAAACTTCGTAAGTCCGTATATGGTGACTCGGTCCAAGATGTCAAAAGTTGTCTTGAGCGATTGACCAATTTCAGATTCGGTTCATGCGGGCATATCTCCATTTAAAATAGACTCAATCTGACCCAATTTCACCAAACCCGACCAAATTACCGAATTGACGCCTTTAGCACACGGAGTACCAAAATGGCCGACCACCTCAAAAGGTATATTCTTCATTACCAAGACTACTAAAACTCAAATTGACACTTCTCTTGTCTAAACAGTAAACCTCATCAACCAAGCAACCCACTTATAAACGTAACGAATTCTAATTCCTTTTTATTTACAACTACTATTAGTATCTCTCATTATTTGGCGCCTTCTTCTTCAAATCCCCAATTCAACATTTCCCCTAAAACCTCAAAAACCTTGAAGCTCTTCATCAATGGCGGAAGAACGATCAGAAATCGCATTCTTCGATGTCGAAACTACAATTCCATTAAAACCAGGTGAATCCTTCATAATCCTCGAATTTGGGGCTATTTTAGTTTGCCCTAAAAAGCTCGTTGAGCTCGAAAGCTACTCCAGTCTTATCTGCCCTAAAGATATCTCTCGTATCTCCTCTAAATCCGAGCGTTGCAATGGTATTTCACGCGCCGCCGTCTCCTCCGCCCCTCCTTTCTCCGCCATCGCCGACAAAATTTTCGACCTCCTAAATGGTACACATTCTCTCTCTCTCCTCTGTTTCTTGGATGATTTTGACTTGTGATTTGGTTAATTGATGAAGTTTTGGTGATTTTTAGGGAGAATTTGGGCAGGACATAACATTTTGAGGTTTGATTGTCCTCGGATTAGAGAAGCATTTGCGGATATTGGGCGGTCGCCGCCGGAGCCGAAAGGGATAATTGATTCTTTGGCTTTGCTTACTGAGAGATTTGGTCGTCGAGCTGGAAATATGAAGGTAATTTTATACTATCATAAGTTTTTGTAATTTTTGGTGTAGAGAGAGCCGGAAAGGATAAATGATGTAGACGGGATTTGATTTTGAGGTCTTGGGGTATCCTTCAAGACTCCAAAGATATGATCTTTGTTCTGTTGCTTTGTATGTTGATTAGTTCTACTTAATCACATTTTAGGTGTTTGTTTATAAATTGGATGAAAAAAGGTTCATTTTTATGAAAGTGATTTTTTTTTTTTGAAAGAAGGAATAAAAAACTACTTTGGTTTACCATTAACACTTATAAGTTTACTACAATGTGTTGGAATGGGTTGAAACCATACTTCAGTTATTTGTTTTATGGAAAGAAGCATTTCTTGTTGAATAGAAAATAGCAAAATGATGTGTTTGTTTAATAATATTTTTTTTTTAACTCCGTATCATTATCCTGGTAAGTATGTTGGCCTATATAGCAAAAGCAATTTGAATTGTAGAAAATAAGAGGTAAAAGCCAGAGCTTCCAACAGAGTAATGAGTTTAAATTATGTGGCAATAAAGACGACATTTTTTGTTTGTCTATTAAGATTGGTTGCTAATCTTGCAATTGAAACTTTGGCCTTGAGAAGTAATGTTTTTTTAAATGAGATTATTTGCACTTTGTGGATCATATCATAAATTTTTAATGCCTAAATGTGGTAGAAATTACAAGAGATTGACAATTGATGTCTTGATATATTTGTTTTCAGATGGCCACTCTTGCCACTTACTTTGGATTGGGTCAGCAAACTCATAGGTAAAATGCCGATTTCCCACTTTCACCCACCATTGTTTACACAGCAACTGATAGTGTTTTTTCTTATTCTTTTTTATTTTTGGGAGGGGGGAGGGTTGGCCATACAATGTGATGGTTGGATCAGTATATTGAAGGGGTGAAAATTGGTGTTTAGATTCACTACCTATTTAAATATCCAAAGAATTGTGTTTCTCTTTTATGTTTCTTGTTTCAGTATTCATCTACATGTTCTTGCTGTTCGCTGTACACCCATATTATATAACTCTTCATCACACCTTTAATCTCTTCTGATTTGGCTTATACTTAAAGCTAGGGGCTCATCGATCTTGGTATTTTTCTATTTTTATATAGAAAGTAAGCCCGGCTATGACTGATTAGCTTTGGCCTTGGATACAAGTGGGTTTTGTGACAATGATAGTCCGCGTTTTGTTTTTGTTTTTGTGTTTTTTCTTTTCTTTTTTTTTTTGGTGGTGGTGAACTAGGAAATATGTTGTGTTCCAGGAGTTATGTGTTTCTTTTTGATTGTCTTTTTTAGGATTCCTGTTTAAGATTCTTATTTATTTAAGTGTTCTCCAATGATTTCAGGAGCTTGGATGATGTGCGCATGAATCTTGAAGTCCTCAAGTATTGTGCAACTGTTCTCTTTTTGGTAATTCATTTTTTTTTGTTTCATTAATTAAAATAACAGCTTGTTAAGTATGCTGTGTAGCTGACTATTAATGCTTAACTTTGTTAGTGTGCAATTTCAACTTTGTTAGGGAAGGGTAGTTTGTTGCTTAAATTCTGCTTCATATCTCCATAGGTTTGGCATTCTGGCTCTTCAAGCAGTATGTAGATGTTTCTCATTAACTTTGTCCTCTTAATGCTATGTTCTCTTAATGCTATGTTCTCTTCACCTGGTATGTATGTGTTTTAATCTGAATTTTTAAAAATCTGGTCTGGTGTGAACATTCCTTGTCTAAGATGATTTGATTTGACTGAATTTTGACTGCATTTGTATAATAATATATAATAAACAATTCAATCAAGTGGGCGCTTGTTATATATGTCTCAATTTGTACCTTCCAATTATTTAAGCTTCATAGTTTTACTAATGCGAAATTAAAGATTTTTTAACAAGAAGCAAAAAAAAAAAAAGATAAATAGTTATGGTCTGGTCCAATCCAATGTAGTCCAACAATGCGATATGGATTTCCCTGTTCCTGAGGCTCAGGGCATCTCATCGAAGTGATACTTGATAAAAATTGAAAAAAATCTGGAAAAAGCTGTGCGCCTCACGTAATCGCTTTAACTAGGTTAGAAACGGCTATACACTGGCCTGCTCTGGACTTTTGGTGCGTTATGCTTTGGCCTAAATCTAATAAGGATAAGTAATAAGAATAATGTGAAGAGAACACAGCCTAAAGTCAAGAAGTGGGTGTTAGTTTTTCCCTTGATCGAATAAAGTAATGTAGGACTGTAGGAAAGGAGGAACAATCAAAGTAATCTTTTTGTGTGTGTGTGCACGCATGTGGAGTGGGTTGGGGTGGCCGGGTGGGAAATCATTTCCTCTGTCATGAAGGGAATTGTCTTCTGGAATTTAACTCACGACCTCTGCGAACTTATTTATTTTCCTGGTCTTTAATCCGGTCGGAAGGTTGCTTTAAAAGTTATTGACAGTGTTTCAGAGTCTTCCATTATAATTATACTATGCCATGGCTTATTCCTCTGAAGTCTATTTTTCACTCTCTTCATTATGGTGATTGCGATTTTGATATATCAAGTAAATTGTTTCTTGAAAAATAATTGAAGAATATTACGGAGTATATGAATAAGTTTGTGGTCCTTTACAGTCTTCCCATTTTGTGTTTGCGATGTCCCAGATTTAATGTTAGTATGTCACTGTGCTATTTCTAGGGTGCTTTTATCTTTTCTTTCTGTATTGGACTATCACATCCATTTCTCTCTGTTGCAACACTTTAACTTTACTCTCATTTTACTACCAAAAATGCTATACATTTTGTTCCATATCATAATGTGAAGAATATATATGGATGAAGAAGACCTTTTATGTAATATAATATTTATTTTTAAATTGAGAAGATACCAGTCAAATTTTGGGAAGGTAGAGGATAATCTCCCAACTTCAAGCTCGAAAACTTTTGGACATTAATCATGAAATGCAGGGAAATGTTAGCTTCTTATAATGCAGTCTCAATCAATCAATCAATCAAAGTCTTAATCCCATAAGGGGGGTCGGCTACATGAACGAAAAGTAATTATTCCGTGATTTGCGGTATTTTGGAATTTGGACTGTATTTGAGGTTAACAATGTCTTGTTAGCATTCTCCTCATGAGATTACTCTTTGTTCCTGTGTGTGCAGGAGTCAAGTCTTCCAGACATTCTTACAAGAGACAGTTGGGTTTCTCCGACATCTACTGCAAGAAGAACTCGTAGTGGTGGGAGAACTTCACCAATGGAAATTAGCTATGCTCCCAACCCAGATCCAATGCCTGAAAACCCATCAAATCAAACCATGGGGGAGCAGCTACTCAATGTGGTTGAGCCTAGTAGACCTGAAACGGAACCTTTTGATATGAGAAGGCTTTCTGAGGAAATAATGGATGATGCCATTCAAGAAGATGATGCAGAAGAAAAAAGACCTATAACTGAATCCCCAGAGATGTCTCGCCTATCAACTATATTTGAGGGCTGCAGCAGTTCTTCTGCTTATTTAATTCCTGAGGATGTTTCCATTCCTTTGATCAGTGCATCTCTAGTCCCATTCTATCGTGGGAGTCGTAGGATTCAGATACTGCATGATACTGTTTTACTCAAGCTTCACTGTACCCATCTGAAAGTGCGATTTGGAATTAGTACAAGGTTTGTAGATCAGGCAGGCCGCCCTAGGTTGAGCTTTGTAGTAGATGCTCCTCCAAGCGTATGTCAAGTTCTCGAAGCATGTGATAATCATGCACAGAGCTTGTTTGCAGAGTCTGGTAGCACGTCTGATTGGAGGCCTGTGGTAGCCAGAAAGAATGGATACTGGAACTTCCCTACTATACGACTCCAGTAAGTTTGCTCTCCTCAATCTTCTATCTGAATTATATACCTTCAGTTCCTGAGTAGTAGTTTTTATTGCTAATCCTCATGCGTATCACTCTGTCACAATGCAATTATTGATGTGATTCATTCATGAGAAAGACTTTAGTCGCTCCGTAATTGCTCAGTTTCCAATGTTGAAGTAGAATAACTCAATTTCGTGATGTCAAAACACATAGGGTATCTTCAGAGAAATGTAGTAAAAATACGGATTTTTTATTTTTATTATTTTTCTAAAAGAAAAAAAAAAATATATCTATCGTGGCAAATTTTTTTCCCAACCCACTGGTGTCTGGTCAGTTAAGATGTTAAATATTAAGATTTCTACAGTCCTCTCAGTTTAATAATAATGCTGTATAATGAGGGTCTAAAGCAGTTATTTTCCACTGAAGGAATCTTTCTTTACTATTGGTAAATAAGAAATTTTCGACTTTTTAATCTGTGCATGTTTTTCACCTTTTGCAGTATACCTACTGTTGTAACTGAAGATATTGCCAAGTATGGTACCGAAATTTTCCAGAAAGAAGCTGCTTCAGGTGTTGAGCAAAAGCTCCTTTTCAGTACGTTTGATCCTCCAGAACTCGATTGTTTGTTCACTGCTGGAACTTTTGTTGATGCGTTCTTCTCCTTGAATCAATATGATATCCAGCAGACTGCAGGCATCCGATTATGTGCGGAAAAGCTGGTTATCCATTCTAACTGACTCTGCAGTTCATGTCAAATTTGTCCTAACCCATCAAAATCAAGGGGTACGTCCTTTTTCGAAGCTGTATATAGATGACCATGGGAGTGGACTTTGCAGAGAAAGTTAAAATTTGATGATTAGTTAGGAGGAGGTAGGAGTTAAAATGATGGTATTTGTAATTTGTTTGTTCCATATGCTAATTATCATAATTCATAACTAAATTATTTCTGTAATTTTACATTATTAACAATGGCTTAACCTATTTGATTAGATCATAATATGTATTAGGCCAATTGTTATTGTAAGTGCCGTTTGACTTGTATTCAATCGTAATTTCCCTTAATAAAAATCTGTTATAATTATATCTTGTTCTTTTGGTCAGCATCTTATGTCACTATGTAAGTACTCCTTGATTTAAAAAACTAAATCATTTTTAAAAAATCGAAGATATTACTGAGCTCACAAATGGTACATTGTTATTGTGGAACGGATTAAATCAAGCAATTAGCTAAAAGTCTAAAACGACTTGTATTTTGGATCGGAAGGAGCGTGTTTGGGTGGTTGAGACGATATCTACGGATTTGTTTGTATGGAGTAATTTGCAATGTTGGCTTATTGGCAAGTATAATGCCGAGCTGAATGAACTTTCCTATTATGTGATTGTGCCTGTTAGCCTGTGCCGAAACCCTTCATGCGTTGCTACGCCAAATTCGTATTGTACTATAGATGCTTGTTTATTACTAACTTTATGTAAATTATACTAATTGAAAATTACATATAGCTACTTATAGAGAGGGGTAATGTGCTACAGTACTAGGATGAGATAAACATCTAATGGGGCTGGGGAAGAGCTTAAATAAGGTACGCAAAATTAAAAATAAGTATTTTCTTTTTTTTTTTACATCTTTTTTTGTATGAGTATTTTGTAAAATAGCAATCTTTAGGGTTACATGTAGGAAGTTAAAATCTTAAAAGTAAACATATGGAGCTACATCAAGCATTAATTTAAAGTATAAGCATGTCACATGTCACCTGAGGTTTTCGTTAGAATCTTAGGATGAAAGGATAGATATCGGTCATTCAAGTTCAAGAACAAAACTTGAATACAAATCTTTTAAGAGGTGTTTGAATTAACAATTACCATATTCATTTCTTGAAAATTTATAACAAAATCATAATTATTGGTCAATGCTATCAAGTTTTGATTAGTGCTCTATGTATAAACATTTAATTAGATTCTGAACCCATAAAACCACGTTTATCAAACCCCTTATAGATGGCTAATGGAGTAAAGCAATAGCTAATATATGGCACTGTGATGCACCTTGTACTAGCTACTTGTTCTCGGTCCCATTTTTCGTTGTTGTAAGATATGGTGGCGATGAACTGGTTTAATTTTCCCCAGTTACATGCGTAGTACTAGTATGACAGTATATCGTATGAGAAAATTGGTTGTTTCTTGTTTGAGTGCACGCTTTTGTTAAGGGTGCACATATACTATCTAAGTTAGCTGTAAATTATAGTGGCTTATTAAGAAACTGAAGCATAGTACTAGTTCGTACGTACAATTATAAAACTTAACATTTTGGACTAGAGTATGACAAAGACATTTCAAAATAGTATACTCCGTATGAACAACTTGTATCATTTGGACTAAAGGATTACTTCTTAGCCCAATAAATTAGACTTGTAATTCCTAGCCTTAGAACTCAGATTAATACTTGCCAAAAACAATGAGTGTGAAAAACACAAGTTCATCTTTTGTCTTGTTAGCTTTGACAACCTCTCTTTTCATTGCTAGCTTGGCCTTGAAAGCCAAAGCTGGAGGAATCGCGGTGTATTGGGGCCAAGATGAGGAAGAGGGAACATTAACAGCAACATGTAGAAGTGGGTTATATAAGTATGTTAATATAGGTTTTCTCTCAACATTTGGTAGTGGCCAAACTCCTAAGGTCAACTTGGCTGGCCATTGTGACCCTGACTCTGGTGGGTGCCAAAGAGTGAGCGTTGACATACGAAATTGCCAAAGCTTGGGGATCAAGGTTATGCTCTCCATTGGTGGTGGCGACGGGAGTTACTCTCTATCGTCGTCCGATGATGCTAGAGGCGTTGCCGATTACTTGTGGGATCATTTACTTGGAGGCCAATCTAATTTCCGGCCATTAGGTGTATACCGTATATTGCATAAACTATGTGTACGTAGGGTATGCGTGCATGTTTTGATAAAGCATATTTAAAGAGTTTTTACAACACAATAAACAAACTAAACAAAACAATAAACTTGAGGAAAGCTTAACAAGAACAATCCAAGCTATTGAACTTAATTAAGCAATAATAATGATAGTTTGTTGAAAAATTCACGGACATATAAGAAGGAGAATGACTAACATATAAGATTGGTGGAATATTTCACCTATCACAAATTAGTTTTGCAATGAAATTTTATTGGACTTATATGTAGTCAGACTCTTCTTCAATGTGGGCTTCTGCTCAGCCCAATGAAAATTTATATTTCTAAGAGAACTTTATAAATGTTTATAATCTCTCAACATTATGATTTTAATACAAAATAAAATACTTTAAATGAACAAAAGGGTGTCCTAAATCTTATAGGGATGCTTTTGTTTTTCCTCCTTTTTTTTCATTCCCTTAATTCACATGATGCATTCAACTTCTTTCTACTAGGTGATGCCGTACTAGATGGCATAGATTTCGACATCGAGTTAGGAACGCCACACTGCCAAGCACTAGCACGAAGACTCACTGAGCGTGGCTAACAATCAGGGAAGAAAGTATACTTAACTGCTGCACCGCAATGCCCTTTCCCTGACCAAAAGCTCAATGGTGCCCTAAACACCGGGCTTTTCGACTACGTTTGGATACAGTTCTACAACAACCCTCCTTGTGAGTTTGATGCTAGTGATCCTGAGAAGTACAAGAACTCTTGGAGAACATGGACATCAAATATCCCAGCTAGGAAGTTCTTTGAGGGGTTGCCTGCCTCGAAAGCTGCCGCCAGAAGTGGGTTTGTTCCTTCACAAACACTTATAAACCAAGTGCTCCCTTTTGTGAAGGGAATTGGTAAATATGGAGGAGTTATGTTGTGGGATAGGGCTAATGATGTGAGAACTGGCTATAGTTCTCGCATCAAGGATAGTGTTTAGTATCTAGCTAATTTTAGTGCTTGCTAAATACCAACTTTTCTTAGTATGGTCAATAATAATGTGTCCAAACAAGATTCTATCAAAATAAATGTATGAACAAGTTGCCTAAATGCCTAATTGGCTTGTGTTGTAATACATAAGTTATGTTCATGTTAGACCGCATAATGGTGAATTTAATATAATAAATTTAGAACAATAATGTAAATTAATACTGTATTAAGTTTTCGAATTTCACTTATTACACAATAGTGAATATATATATATTAATAAGTCAATAGGTAAATAGTTTTAATCACATATAATTTCAATATTGATCATCCCTATGATTTCTTTGGGTGTAAAGAGAGCCACAAGGACAGTGATGTAGAAGGGATTCAATAATCTCATGTCTTGGATACTACCCCCTAAACTTTTACCAATCAAACTAGTTGGCATCTACTTGATCATCTCAATAATAAGTCTAAAATTAAAAATCCTCCATTTTAAATATGTCAATGAACTTTTAAATTTTTCAAAATCGAATTGAAATTTTTTACTTTTTAGAAGTTATACACCCATTTAGACAATCAACACTATCAAAATAGAAGTCAAATTATCAAACAACACAGCCATTCGCCCATTCTTTTATACTCCGTACGCCAAATCTCCATGCTTTCAAGAAAAGAAGTTAGGTAGTGGACCATTTTTTAGGTTCATTGTCTTAAATTTCTACAATCATGATTAACTTCAAAATATAAGTCAGACAACAATTCATTGAAAAATAGAGTGGGAAAAGAAATGTTGGAAAGAAGACTATGGCCCTATTCGGTAATGAACGGTTAGCTAATTGATATAACTAATTGTATTAACTAGTTTGACTAGCTAGTTATATTAGCTAATTTGACTAGGTGGTTGTTATAGCTTATTGTGTAAAAGTGTTTGGCAAAAAACTGTTTATTTTTAGTTGTTTCAGTGTATTTAATACCCAAAAAGCTAATTATTAAATAAGCTAATTTCAAAAAGCTCTAATAATGAGATTTTTTAAAAAGAGATTTTTATCAAACATCCAAATTAGCTTTTTATTATAGTTTAATATCTTATAGTGCTCAATAAGCTAAAAGCTTTTCACAAAACACTTTGGCCCTGTTTGGTAATTAGCGTTTAGCTGATTGATATAGTTGATTGTATTAATTGGTTTGACTAGCTGGTTATATTAGCTTATTTGACTAGCTAGTTGTAAATAGCTGATTATATAAAATTGTTTGGTGAATAGCTATTTATTATTAGCAGTTTCAGTGTATTTAATACCCAAAAAGCTAATTTTTCAATAAGCTAATTGCAAAAAACGCTTAAAATGAGCTTTTTCAAAAAGAGCTTTTTAGACCCAAAAAGCTCTTTTAATAAGCTATTTACCAAACACCCAAATCAGCTTTTTAAAATGGTCAAACCTCTAATAGTGTTCAATAAGCTAAAAGATTTCCAAAAATCTCTTTACCAAACAAGGCGTATTTGTTCTTTCATTTTCTTTACATAATTCCACTATATTTTTTTTTTTTTTTTTTTTTTTTTTATATGTGAACCAATAAAGAGCTCACCAATAAATATATCCTAAACTAAGGTTTGATACGGGGGTTTCGATGTTAACAAGAAACCTAAAGATGAATTTGAGACAAAGGGAGTCCTAGGCCTTAAAGGTGCACAAGGATTGAAGTTGGGAAAGTTGTTTTTCCTAATTACTGGTCATCAAAGTTGACTTAAAAGTCAAGCACATTTGTTTAATTGACTTGACTTTTAACTATGGCCTATAACACTATGAATCATCTTTCAAATTTTCTTCCCCTATAAAGCAGACTCATACGTTTAAGCCTTAGTATAACTCAAAAATTCTTGTTAAAGTTCAAAGAAAATAAAATTATGGGTATCAAAATTTGCTCACCTTATTTCTTGCTAGCATTAACCATCTCATTGTTCATTTCCTTGCCCTTGAAAACCAATGCAGGAGGAATTGCCATATATTGGGGCCAAAATGAGGATGAGGGAACATTAACAGCTACATGTAGAAGTGGCTTATACAAGTATGTTAACATAGCATTTCTCTCAATATTTGGGAATGGCCAAACACCCCAAATTAACTTGGCTGGTCATTGTGATCCTGCCAATGGCGGGTGTCGTAAAGTGAGCACTGGCATCAGGAATTGCCAACAGATGGGGATTAAGGTCATGCTCTCCATCGGAGGTGGTGCCGGTACCTACTCGCTTTCATCAACTGATGATGCTAGACGCGTCCGATTACTTGTGGGATCATTTCCTTGGAGGCCGATCCAATTCTCGGCCATTAGGTATGCATGATTTTGAAAAGAAAAAAAATGTATGCTAAAAATTCTATGATGTTTCTCAGATGTGCCCAAAAATGCAAATTTCTTCATTGACAAAATTGATACGATTCTTTAACAAAATATTTTCTCATAAATTAACTTGTATGTTTTTCTACAAATGAGTAGACAAGTCCAGATGGTTAAAAGAAACCTGAAAGATAATGTTCAACTTCTTTCACCAGGTGACGCTGTATTAGATGGCATAGATTTCGACATCGAGTTGGGAACACCTCATTATGTTCCGCTAGCAAGGAGACTTGTCGAGCACGGCCATCAATCAGGGAAGAAAGTATACGTAAGTGCTGCACCACAATGCCCTTTCCCTGATCAAGAGCTTGATGGCGCCTTAAATACCGGCCTTTTCGACTACGTTTGGATACAGTTTTACAACAATCCTTCTTGTGAATTTGATGTTGGTAATCCTGAGAACTTCAAGAATTCTTGGAAAACATGGACCTCAAAAATCCCAGCTAAGAATTTCTTTGTTGGGTTACCTGCTTCAAATGATGCTGCTAACAATGGCTTTGTTCAAACACAAACACTTATAAACCAAGTGCTCCCATTTGTTAAGGGATCTGGTGGCAAGTATGGAGGAGTGATGCTGTGGGATAGGGCCAATGATGCGAAAACTGGGTATAGTTCTCACATCAAAGCTAGTGTCTAAGTTTATCATACCAAGGGAGCTAATTTAATACAAAATATTTCCTGCTTTCCTACTTTGGTCATCATGTACTCTGTATCAAAGTTTCTACTGAAGATATACGAAGTATAACTGTATAAGGTAATACTAGTATTTATCAGTGGCAAAAATACCAAGTACCTCAAGCAGCACCAGTAACTTGGTCAAAAGAATAAAATTTTAGATTTATAGCAACTACCGTTTTTGATACATTGATATGAAACACATAAACCTCAAAATTTTGCAAAAATATATTTGCCTTCACTACTTATTTACGGAAAACTAAAACAGGTCTATCAAAACCCAATGTTGCACCTGATACACTCGTCGTTGCTTGTTCAACAGTTCTGAATCCAATCTGTCACCCAGGTATGAAAAAATAAAAACAGAAATTAGACCATTAATGAAAGCTATGGAACTGAGCAGCTTAAAAAAATGAGCAATACTTAAGTCAATTTCACAATGGATTGAGAAATGGCTAGAGACCTTATCAAGAAGCATCTCCTGGAAGAAATCGGGTTTATATACTATATTATTGTAATTCATCTGCGTAATCTGCAAGAGAAAAGCATTTAATGTAATATGTGTATTCAAGGTATGTAATACTGCATTGCTATAGGACATAGCCAAGCACAATATTGAACAAGCGGGATTAGTTAAGCATACAATTACATGTGGAAAGAACTCCTTTAGAAGGAGGTCTTCTTAGAGACCCTTAAGTGTTGATTTTGTAGAATACAAGTTTCATGTGTGCATAAGATAACATAATATTTACCAAAAACTAAACAAATTTATGAAAAACAACGTGTTGGAATGATGTCAATAGGGCAGGGCGAGGCAAAAGTTCCATCCCCATCCCTGCCTAACATTCTCATCTCCATCCCCATACCCACGGGTCCAAAATCCATCCCCATCCCCACCTTGACGGGTACAAATCTAAAATCATCCCCACCCCACCCCCGCCTAGATATCCACACCAACCTGATCCCCGCCCCAAACCCACCTTTAAAAACCAAATACTACTTACTAAAATATATTCAAAAAAAAAAAACACTTACATTACATAGTTGTTTTTTTAGTTTATTGTATTATTATATTTTATTTAATATCTTTTTTAAAGCATATATTTATCTTTTTAAATATATGGATGCACCGATGCAGGTATGGCCGTATGGGGCGAATACAAAGTGGGGCGGGGCAGGGATGGGACAGGTAAAACCTAAAATCCAACCCCACCCCATAACCCATAGCGGGTATGATTTTCACCTTAATCCCTCACCACCACCTGCCAAACCAGGACACATCTTTGCCCCACTGACATACCTATGTTGGATTATAAGCTGAATAGTATTTCAGGTACAAACATTAATCCTGATATGGACAAGTGATTGTTCAATTTGTATGCTGTCAATGCTAAGTCATATTTTTGTACGTACTTAATTAGAGTCATATCCAGTAAAAATATGATGTACAAAAATATGACTTAGCTAAGTGTCGTCTAACTCTCAACAAGTATGCCTGTGTTGAATTGACACGTCTATGAGATTCAAGTGTGAATTTAGCCCTCCGTGATTTAAGAACAGTTAAAATACTATTAAAATACCATTAATTGTTATAAAATGGATGAGAAGTATAAACAAATAACCACCTCAGTTGTAAGACGATTCTTGTAATATGACTCCCATGGCTGAGGCTCCAAGACAAGAATACCACCCTGCTCATAACAAAGATCCATTCAACACTATCTATGAGAGAATAGCATAATCGCCTAAAATGATTGGGCTTTTATTTTTCATAAGACAAAAAATACAATGAACAATTACACATACCGGATGGAGGAGTCTCCAAAACTTTGCAAATAACGATATTAATCCTTCATCACCCCAGTTCAAATGAACCCATTTTGTCACACTCAAACTGTATATTACACATAAGGGAATCCATCAATGAAAAAACAAGTTACTATTACAGGTAATGGAAGCAAGAATACAAATTCAGTGTTTATATGGTCAATATCCTCGATTCAATTACTTTTCATTGCAATTGTGATACTCGTCTCATTTTAGTCACATCAATTTTTTTATTTTTTTTTTTTAAAAAAAAAAAAAAAAAAAAAAAAAAAAAAAAAAGAGGGGGACATCGTAGCATGTCACAATTATCCTATATAGTTGTATCCTTTATAGGGGACGCAAGTAAAGTAAATAGAAGAAGCATATGTGATTCTTTTGCTTAACTTATCCAAATTTCAGATAAGTCCTCATAGTCATACTTGATAATAGGTTTATCAAAGTGTATACTGTGAATATATACAGAGATAAAACTTACCACAGAATGGTATCATAGTTTTCAAGGGGAAGTGAGACCCAACTAAGGACAAAATTTTCACATCGAAAAGATACAATGTCAAGAAGATTTCTGTCCACCGAGAAAGTATCAGTCTCATCATCCTTTGCACTTGTGGAACAAGTTTCAGCACATTCCAATTCATTCACACCCTTAACCCTTGTCTTGGAGGACCCAACGCATCCATTTCCAGTTTTCTCTTCTCTTACCATATTCCGAAGGCGCCACCAAGCATCTTTGATTCGATCTACAAAGCATAGGAATTATAAGTTTAATGTAGGGGAAGAAGAACATTGTCTGATAAAAAGTTAACTCCGTAGGAATCATACAAAGAGCATCACCATCCAATTTCCAAATGAGAGTATGATACTAGTACAATAAATAACTAAATAGAAGTCCTACAAAGAGAATAACCCTACAAACCCCCAAATGGAGGTAAAGAAAACATGTTTTACAGAATATGATTGTAATATGGATCATTAAGCCATGTTGTCAAAATTTATGATATAAACTCATATAAAAGCAAAGATGCATTTAAATCTCTATCTAAACTAATAATATACATAGAAAGGTAAGGAAGAAGCTAAAGTACACAGCTAGTAATATTTGAAAAAATAATTACAACCTCTTACAAAATAACAAAAACTCTTCTAAAAGACAACACCAAAAGCCTATCAACTTTAGTGAAACATTGTGCCTATTGCAATTCCTTTTTAAAGGGGCTGAATGCACAAGTCAGGCTGATTGAACATGGAGCAGCTTAGTGAAACATCGTGTCTTAAGATACTAAGTTCATCAACATTTGCAACATTAAACATTGTAAAAAGCAATTTCTTTGTCATTTCATAGGAAAATGGCTTGGTTTGATGTAGCTATGAAACTCCTATGACTCTATGAGGTTAGCAAAGAATCCAAATAACATTTTACAACAATATACAGAAGAGCATTGTCCTCAATCAAAGCCAATTCACTCCCGCAGATACCCCCACTACGGTGACATAATAGTCAGTGACCAAGTGAAGAGAACACAAAGGACCCTTGCTAAAGAACCATTGCACCTAACATCATTGCATCCAAACAATATGTGCTAAAAGTCAAAAGATCAATAAAAGTATCTACTAGAGAAAAAAAAAATGGAAGCATTTATGAACTAATCAGAAGTTTGTGGGCACATGCAAAAGTTTTTCCAAACTAAGGGGCTACTAGCAAAAAGGTCAAGGCACAAATCATTACCACAGAGATACTGATGACTTATTGATAGCTTTTGTCACCAGGAATAGGAAGACCGCCAAATTACAAAATACATCATGTATCATCATTGACATATAATATTACCCTGCTAAAGCCAGTTTGAAGTCTTAGAGACATACTATTATCAATGTCAATGCCAAGGATAGTCCTACAGTCAAACTTCTTTGCTGCAAAATAAAATTGAATTGGAAAAAGATCAGAAGTGAAAATTTGCATGCTAAATTGAAAACCAAAATGCATTGATCCTTAGATTCCTTACCAATATTAATAGTTATCAATCCACTGTTGCAACCAATGTCAAGACAATCTTTGCCTTCAAACCACTCCTTCTTCAGTACTTTGAACCGTGGATCCTCCTCAACGTCATGCCCAACCTGATTTATCACTTAAACTTAATTGCAGGATCTCATGACATGGAAATTCAACTTACAATCCAGCGAGCCAACCAAACATTTTCAAGAAAGATAAGCAAAATCGAACAAATATACATACAACCACCGATACAAAAAATTTCTAACATTAATGTTTCACATCTTGACTCAATAAAGGCATAGAGAGAAACTTCCCTAAAACTAGGACATATAAACATCAGTAAAGGCTTTACTTAGAAATTATCTCAATACATGCCTTTGGTGATTACTAGAAAACAAAACAGAAACCAACATTTTCATGTAGGAATAAGCTATATTTCTCAATGAAATAATCAAAAACGTACGTTGTGAAAGGATTCAGGAAAATTTTAAAAAGAAGTTTATCTTCTGAAAGCTCAGAGTTCGTCCCCCTCCCCCTCTCTTCCAATGATTTACTACACAAACATAGTATACAACTGTATCAATATCTTCATAAAACATGTTAGAATCTCAGTGTGACATTACTCGACGCTCTTGAATTTGAAGCATACAATTTAACTCTACTCAATTACCATGACGAGAGAAAGCACAATCAGGGAGAAGTCAGCATTAATTTAATCATAAAAGGTGAAATTTTACCTTCTACAAAATGATTAATCATTAATCACAGTAAAATTTCCATGAAGATAAAATTTTCATATATTAACATCACTAGAATTTTATCAGCAAAAAGTAATTTTTGGCGGCAGAAATCAAAATCCCAGATACTTTCTAACCTAATGTTGCTAGAATCAGCCAAATTTTACAAAATTCATTAGGCACAAATAGTGAACTACCATGAAATAAATTTATCACAGAAAAAGAGGTTAAAATAATAATTATCAATGAAAAATAAAATTAAAATTAAAGTAGCATTTGGGCATCAGTTTACAGTCTTTACACATCTAAACAGTTTCTATGGAAACATTAATTTCTCAGAAAACCCCTTCTTTGAAAAAAGAAGAAAGAAAAAAAGAAGATAATATCAGAAAGAGAACTTACACGATAACCATAGTAATTCCTGTAATTTCCAAAGGGAGCAACCTCTTTGTTCTTCTTCTTGTTCTTTACAATACCATTATTACCGTTATTAACAGCAACTGGGTTTTCTGTCTCTGTTTTCTGCGTTGAATCTGCCATTTAATTTTCTTCGGCTTCATCAAGCAAATTAGTTAGGGTTTTGGAGGGAGATATATATATATATATATATATATATATATATATATATATATATATATATATATATATATATATATATATATATATATATATATATATATATATAAAGAGTTATGACGCAGGTTTATGACAATTGTATAATGAAATAATAAAAGAAATGTATTGTGTAATCACTACTCAGGCACACTTAAAACTAGCATATAGTGGCGGTAATTTTAAAATTTAGAATAAAACTCATTTTTATGTTTTAAATTTTAGTTGATGTTTAATGCTATCACTTTTAACTCTTAATTCAAATTCTATTATTATAAGTAGTGGATAATGTAATGAAAACTTTGCCCAACTTGAAAGTAGTTAATCATTGTTGATTTTTATTAAAAATCTAAAAGAATTTAGCCAAACTGATATCAGCTAAATGTTACATAGTAAAAATTTCAACAGTCGCTTTTGTCCATTATGTAATAGATATAACAGAAAAAGATTATCCAATTCGAGAAAAATAAACTATGTCTAATGCCCTAGCCACAAACACAGATCATCAGACATTACAAATAAAATTGATTCCTCCCACCTTCAACTCCATATAAAGAAAAAGGCGAAATCATCAATGCTCACCCAAACCAAAAGATGGAGGGGAAATTGATTCAACTGGCAACCCTTTTTGTTTATTCCGGTTTGCATAAAATCTTATCTTTATATTTTCTTATGGCAAGCAATATCACGCTCTAAGGTTACCTATCTCATACAAATCGGCAACTTCTTGCAAATTAAGATACAATTCATGAGTGAATGACCATTGCAATTGCCATTACACTAAAATTATTACAAATGTGCCTTGTGAAAAGCTTCTTGTAGTAATTTAGTTAATTCTACCCACATGCAATCAAGCCTAGTCTCAGTTAGTGAGCCCCTTTACTGCTGCAAAATTTGATTCCTTTATCACCCACAAGAAGGAATTTATGAAATTGAAGGATTGTAGAAATACACACACTAATAAACTTAATAATTTATGACAATAATAACAAGACACGTCTGTTCAGGCAGAAAAAAGAGTTGTAGTTTGTATTAGTTAAGTTTTTAAATTAGGATGTAGGTTCTGCTTTGTGTTCTTGTTGATCACTCATTCAAGGGCTTGATTGTTACACTTTTAACTACTTTAGATTTGGCAAAAACTCCCCAGCTGCACCTCAAATTTACCAACCTAACTCTCTTGCTTTTCTCTCCAAATCTTTCAGCCTTCATATTCTACCATACCAACCAAGAGAGTCCAATGTAAGCCTTAAGAATAATTCCTTACAAGGAGCTTAATCATTTACTTCGGATTCTAAGAACTAAATTTTACATGTCCATAACCTGTTCCCTAGAGGATTTTCTTTTTTTCTTTCTTAGTGAAACAATGGTCAATTACAACAATTATATTAATCAAGGCTTATTCAAATTCAAGTCTTTATCGTTCTTCCTACTACTCTGCCACTTTATTTGTTTCTAGATCATCATCTATCACATAGCACAGCTCTAGCATTAAAATCATACTTCAATCCAATGAAAATTCTTAAAATAGACTTCAAAACCCACCCCATATAAACTCAGGACAAAATAAATGACACCATAAAAATAAAATAGTTTCCCAATATGATAATGTGTATACCTGAAATAGAAAAATTGCAGCTCCAGCTGTACTCGTCTCTAATCCAGCTTAATAACAGCAACCAAGGAAACCAGATGAGCAATGTATCTACCCAAAAAATAAAAAATAAAAACTCGAGAGATTTAGATAGAACGAAAAGCAAATCGACAAAAGACTGGTTTGAACGCCAAACTAAATAGTGACACCACAAAGGCTTAATTAAAACTTACTAAACCATACAAACTAATCCAAAGTTAAATATTTAATTCACACAATAGGCCAAATCTCTTAAAATTAAAAAAAAACGGCAATAAATTCAACTTGGGTAAATACATAAACAATATCACTTCTAAAGACAGAAGAAATTCAAAAGCCAAATTATAAATGTAATGCCCTGGCTGAGGAGATCGATATAAATAATAAAATATATTTTCAAGCAGAATTTTCAATAAAACCTTATTTGAAAATAGTACAGCCCAAAAAAGTACTCTTTAAAATTCAAAGCTAAATGTCTACTAAGGAGTTTCTAAGTGATGAGCTACACTGAAGAAAGTTATTGAGTATAAAATACCAATTGGTAGCTTAAGAAAGTTAAGTCGTCCTCACTCCATCCCATTCTCATTTCCACTATTCCGTAATCCTCTTCTGCTCGTCATTATTAAATGGGTCATCACAGGTTCAATCCATAAGGAGAACAATGCAAACACAAGTAGATTAAACTGTCAGCAACCTCCATTCCACCTTGTTAATAAATAATTAAGATCGTATACTCATACTTATATTAGTATATTTTTTTTTTTTTGAATTTATATTAGTATATGATATGATGCAATATGAACATTGTATTATATTTCATACGGCTCTCAATTGAAATCTCATGTAATTATATTCTGGGAGTAAATTGAGAGTAAACCCGGAAAACCCTGTTGTCAGCATATCACATTAGTAAACCCAGAAGACTCTATAATACTAAACTCCCTAATTCTTTCACTTGAATTGTCAATATCATGCATCATAATAGCATTGAATCATATCACATCAATCAATCCAAACCTTGTATAAACTGAAATACACAGGCATACTCATATAGCTCCTTTAAAAAGAGAATTAAATTTGAAAAATAAGATAAACCAATGACTAATAAAAACTAAATTCAAACCAAAATAACACTTAAATCACATAATATAATTCAAATACTTGAAATCAGAAAAATTGCATAGAAAGCAAGTAAATTAGGGTTTCCTAATTGATATAGCATCGAAAGGGGCCGCCACTACCACTTCCACTGAGACCACCGCAGACCAGGCGGCGGCGCAGCAGCAGCAGCAATATCTGTAAATTGGAACCCTAACTACAAAACGAGAGGAGAAGGAGGAGAGATACCTGGGCGTGGGTGGGTGGTCGCCAGCGATTTCCCGGCGAGAAAAGGTAGTGAGGTTGTCTGTTTCAGTGAAAGTTTTGGGGAAGCGTCTGCGAGTGCGAGGGAAATTATAAAGTCACAACCTGATTTTCATATTCCTGTCGCAAAAAAAAAAAAAAAAAAGTTTTTCACTAATAAAATACTTATAATTTGTAAATTTGTAATGCATAAATTAATTAGCTAAGACTTGGTTCATTTCACTTTATTTTTTTTTTGAGCTGAAATTATTTTTATTGAACTATAATTAATTTTGTCGAAATGAAATTAATTTTACTAGTTTTTTGTTATATTGCTTTTTTAAATTTATTGAATTTGACTGAACTGAATTTTTTTTTGTGCATACATTGAGTAGATTAGAAACGTCTTTTCGCAAGATTGTGTCCTAGTTTGTCTAAATTTTTTTTTAAATATAAATATTTGCTATCCATAAATAGATTAATATCTTGGTGCGTCGGTTTTTTTTAAAAAAAAAAAAAAATCATAGAAACAAAATTTACTAATTCGCATTACAATGACTTTTATATGTGGATGGAGTTACTCGTTTAGTGGTATAAAAAACACTGTTACGGGTAGAGGGTTCTTAGTAATATAGGAGTTACTCTATCAATAATGTAGAGGTTACTTTATTATTTAAGGGTTACTCAATAAGTATAATAAGGGGTTACTGTATGACTATAATAGGAGTTGCTCCGGTTTTTTACAAGTGGTCACACGATGTGAGTCAATGGCAATGTGACGGAGCCAGAAATTTCAAACCGGGGGAACAAATGGACATCACATAGTTTTGACAAAAATCACTCAAAAATCCAAAATACAGAGTATTAGATTAGTCTAAATAATCCAACATCGTACACCAATTCTTCCTCTATAGATATTTGCCTATGGGTTCGAAAATTTTAAACAATTCAAACATTAGTTAACATAGCTAACTAAATGCAATTGTCATAATTCCCTACTACAACGATAATTTATTCCTCTAGAGATATTGTTCGGAAATTTTAAACAATTCAAACATTAGTTAACATAGCTAACTAAATACAATTGTCATAATTCCCTACTACAACCATAATTTGGGGGTTCTGTTTATGCAAAATTATAGTAATAACAAATTTTTTTTTGTTTTTTTTTTAAAACCCCATCAAGGGAGAAACTCATATTAATAAATCAGATCGAGCTACATCAAGAAAACGACTTGGGAAATCATCGAACCACATTTTTTGTCCCACTTCCCAGGGTTGAAAATGGGCCAAATCATGTGCTAATTTATTACCACTACGGTTAACAAATGACCAAACTATGCTATCAAAAGAAGAACAAAAGCTGAAAATATCATCTAAAATAAGATTAAAGGAACTAGTTCCCTGAGAAGAACCCCGTAGAGCTTGAATAACAAGGCAGTCACTTTCAACGACTACCTTTCTCTTTCCCGCAACTGCAGCCAGCTTCAAGCCCCACCAAACCGTTTTTGCTTCAACCACTTTCACATCCCACACCTCCCTGCATTGCACCACCGAGCAGCCCAACAGCTTACCATCCCAGTCTCTCATTGCAGCCCCTAGACCGCAACCAAGACCACTCACAACCCCAGCATCAGTGTTTACCTTAACTCACCCAGCCTCAGGCAGCTTCCAGCTAAAAACCGAATTATTCTCTTGCTGCATAGAAGTCCTCCCACCTAACTTACTCTCCTCCTTCGCCTCGCTACTGATGCGCATAGCATAAGCTACGGTGTTCTCCGGCTCCAACTATTTACCTTCAATTAGAATTGAGTTGCGCTCTCCCCAAATCGCCTAGCACAAGGTAATCACATTCGCAAGGTCCTCTTCATCCAGCTCGGTAATACACCATTCCCACCAATCCACCAAACATCTAAACCTCTGTGAGAAAACATACCCATATAAGCTCATACCCCAGACTTCTCGTGCTAAAGCACACTCTTTCAATACGTGAATGACTGATTCTTCAGAGCAATTACACAGTCCACACGATGCATCAAACTCTCTCAGCCTGTGACTTAGAGCACCACGGGTAGGCAGAGCATCCTGACATGCTCTCCAAGCAAATACTTTCACCCTGGGTAGCACTTTCAGATTCCAGATTCTCTTCCTAATGTGACGAGGATTCGAGGTTGCTTCTTCCATCTTAGACCGCTCATCATCAAACAAAGCCCTATAAGCTTACCGAACCGAGTAATTGTCGTCCTTCTCAAGGTCCCAACAAAGGCAGTCATCAGGGAGCCTCTCACTCAAAGGAATGCTGAAAATTCGATCACACTCAAGAGGTAGGAAAATGTTCGAAACCACCACACTATCCCAGCACTTCGTATTAGCATCAATTAAATCCCTCACCTCCAAATCCACACTAGCTGTGCCCCTAAGAGATAGCACCATCCGAATCTGAGTATTAGGAATCCAAGGGTCTCCCCAAACCTTAATCTTAGCCCCCATTCCCGACTCTCCATCTCATTCCCCTCTATAGAACCCATTTGACCTCCCAAATGTCCCTCCAAGTGTTAGATGGATTAGTGCCCAAATTAAATTCCAGAAAAGAACTCGTAGGATAGTACTTACCTCTGAAAATCTGTTCAATAAGGCTACCCTGCTTAGACACGAGTCTCCATGCTTGCTTCCCCAAAAGAGCCCAATTAAAAAGCTTGAAATCCCAGAACCCCAACCCTCCTTCCTTCCGCCTACACAATTTCTTCCAAGCAACCAATGTATCTTTCTTTCTCCTTGTTTTTGCCCCCACCAAAATTGAGCTACGAGAGATCGGAGTTCATCACAAAACGAAGATGGAAATTTAAACACACTCATCGCGTAGGTAGGGAGAGATTGGGCCACCGCCTTAATCATGACCTCCCTACCCGCTTTAGATAATACCATCCCCTTCCAACCTTGCAGTTTCTTCCAAAGCTTCTCCTTAACACCCCTCGTGATCACCTTTTTAGACCTCCCAACCACAGTCGAAAGCACCAAATAACGATCATGAACATCTACCAACCGAACTCCAAGATTATCGGCAAGCTCAACTCGACGGTTTTGCACCACACCCTTACTAAAAGAGACGGTAGTCTTATCAAAATTAACCTTCTGCCCCGACGACATCTCATACATGTGAAGGATATTTTGAATTGTCCCCACATCATCTAATGTAGCCTTCGAAAATATGATACAATCGTCAGCAAACAAAAGATGATTTATTGAAGGAGCAGCCGGAGCAATTTTAATACCTCATAGACTACTACACTCTTCCGCCCTCCGTAGTAAATGAGAAAAGACCTCCGCACATAAAACAAAGAGATATGGAGACAACGAATCACCCTGTTGAATCCCTCTTTCCGGCACAAAATCATCAGTAGGTCTCCCATTTATTAAAATAGAGAAAGAAACCGACCGAACACAATCCATAATTTTATCAATCCAACCTCTATCAAACCCGAACCTAATCAGAGTAGCCTCCAAAAAATCCCACTCTACTCTATCATAGGCCTTGGACATATCAAGTTTCATAGTCATCAAACTTCCACATGAGTTGAATTTTTCATAAAATGAAACAACTGAAAAGCCACAAGGATATTATCTGTAATCAATCGCCCCAGGGTAAAAGCACTTTGATTAACAACAATAATTTTATCGAGAAAGACTTTGAGTCTATTAGCGAGAACCTTCGACACAAGTTTATATACTACATTGCAGAGTGAAATGGGTCTAAAATCCGACATCCGATCAGCATTGGATTTTTTGGGAATTAAAGCAATAAATGTTCTATTCAAAATGGCGGAATAGCCATACCTCCCAGAATTGCAAGAACCATATTCGACACTGAAGGGCCCACAATATCCCGATACGACTAGAAAAACAACAGACACATCCCATCCGGACCAGAAGCTTTTATCGGATGCATTTGACCCAAAGCAAACTCCACCTCTGCCACATTGTACGCAGCTCTAAGCGTCACATTCATTTCTTCAGTAACTCGGCTCTACACCTCTTGCAACACTTGATCAATCAACGTCGAATTAGAAGTGGAAAACATATTTCGAAAATAAGCAACGACAACCTCAATCACAGCCTCATCACCCACATGAAACTCTCCATTATCATCGACTAATTTTCTCATCGAGTTTTTATTTTTTCTTCCCGAAGCTCTTTGGTGAAAAAACTTCGTATTTTTATCTCCTTCCGCAAGCCACAAGACCCTTGACCGTTGCCTCCAAAAAATTTCCTCATGATGAACCAACTCAGCAATTTCACGCACTAAAATTCGACGCTGATGCAGTTGGGAAGAAGTCAACCCACCTTTATTAAGCTTTTTCAACTTTTTCCTCTTTTTATGTAACTCCCTAAACATCTTACCAAACTTCTCCTTACTCCATTCTCGCAAGTCATCATAACACTAGGAAAGTTTAGCTTCCAAAGTACTACCACCCAACCACGCATTTTCGATAACCCCTTCACACGTCTCATTAGACTGCCAAATTTGCTCAAATCTAAATGGTTTTATCCTAAGCCTACTGTTATGAGAATTTTGTAACACTAACTTAATAGGAGCATGGTCGGACCACTTTCTATCAATATGGATCAAATGAGCTTTCGTAAAACAACCCAGCCAAATCTCCGAAGCCAAGGCACGATCTAGTCGACACTGAATATTTTCCCCCTCATCTCTACCATGTCATAAGTGAATTCATACCCTGAGAAAGGGATATTTCGAAATTCACAAAAATCAACCGCACTCCTAAAAAATTATCCATTTGCCAAAAGGCTCTATCATTACCACCCGCCTTCTCGGAAGGAAACAATATTTCATTAAAATCACCCAAGCACACCCACGGTAGCTGAGATTAATGTTTAAGCTCCCTAAGAAGCTCCCACGAAAGATGTCTATTGTGCACCTCCGGCCAACCATAAAAGCCCGTCAATCTCCACTTCTCATCACCTAACCCCTTAACCACCTCAACATCAATGCGATGCACCAACATAGAACGAAGAACAATGTCTAGACCCTTTCGACTTAGGACACTCATTGAGCTCAGCGGGGTTGCTCAACCGCAACTGCCGCCTCCCGCCATCCGGAGGTTTCACTACTAACAGAAACTTTCTTCACCACATTCCCCACTTCTATTCCACCTCCCCCCTCTCTTTGTCTCTTCCCCAAACCTCTTTCCTCCTGATCATCCACCATCATAGTGTCTCCTGCCCCATTCCCTCTTACTATTTTTTTTTCCATTTTTTCCCTCCACTCGAACCCTTCGATCCCTCACTCTCCGTAACCACCTGCTTCCCTCAGTCCAGACTCCCTTGCTTCACAATAGAGACTTTCCCCACCTCACCCCTATTTTCAGCTCGTACATACTTATCCCCGTCATTCACACCTTCCTCACTCACCTCCTTCACATTATTACCTCCAATCACACCATCATTATTTTTTTCCCCTGAGGAAAAAACAAACTCCACCAGGGAGCTATTGTCAGGATGCACAAAATTCGTGGCACAAATAGAGGGAGCCCCACTGACGACCTCCGGCTCCTTCTCACAAGTATCAAGCTTGGTAACGAACAGTTGTTTCTTAGAAGCACAAATAGCTTCCTCTTCTTCCTTGTCACGTAGCCATCCCTTACTAGGCGACGCTTTTAACCATTTCCCCCATCGTAGCTTCGAATTCCTGCTCTCCTCCGACACAACAATATAATCACGTTCGGCATGACCCATAATCCCACAAGCATAGCAAAAGAAAGGAAGTCTTTCATAGGCGAACTCCAATCGAACTTCCTTTCCTGATATGTCAATAATACCCTGGTTCCTACGCTAGGATTTAGAAACATCAATCATTACTTTTACACGTCTGAACCGATCAAGTCCCAACAAGTCATCCTCTATCTCAATCAAGTCTCCCAACCCCGAAGCTAATTGTTTCACATCATCATTCGAGCGGCAATTGAATGGTAAGTGTTTGATTCAAACCCAAAATGGAGAACGAGTTAGGGATACCTTTTTTCTGGTTACTCGTTGCCTTCAACCTCTTTTAACAGGATTAACATGTTATCAAAACACCAAGGTCGGCCCTTGAGAATCTTCTCTTTGTCTTTCCAATGGAATAATTGGATAGCATACAAATTAGGACTTAAAACCCTAAAAACCACCCCGTTTGTCGGAGCCCACACCTTTTTCAAGGTTTCTCTGAATGCTTCCACATTGTATGGTTTATCCGTTAATAATTTACCAATTAGTAGCAGGTTAAACTTTTCATCTGAAATCGCCTCAGTACCACCGCTAAGGTCCACGACACTACTATCATCATCATCCAGTTTTAGTCTCGAGCATTGATTAATAATCTCCTCTGCCATCTGAATCCAAGCAGAAGGAAACCAGGCAGAAGCCGCTATCGACGGCAGGAAAACCTTCACCCTAACGAGAGAGCAAAACCCTTTCTTTCGAGGGAGTTCAAGTCAACTCATTTAGTAATAACAATTACTTAAATAAATTTACAGAGTGATCATTTAGAAAATAAATGAAGGAATACTATGTTATACATTAAAATAATTTAAATTAAAAAAAGGCCTCTTGCAAGGATCAAACTCTAGATCTCTTAAATAGAATCTCGTTGCCCTAACCACCACACCATCTCATTTGGTAAGATGTTGTACTACACTAAATTATGGTTTTAACCTGATTTTTTTTTTTTTTTAAAAAAAAAAAGTGGGAGGACAACCGTCCCCCCTTCACTCCTTGTAACTAGGGGTGTACAAAAATTGGCCCGGACCTGAAACCGGACCTGAACCGACCTGAACCGGACCGGACCTGACCCGGACCTGTTGATTCAGGTCCGGTCCCGGTTCTTAAAAATCCAGGTTCCCGGTCCCGGTCCGGACCCAGTCCAAACCCGGGGTTTTCAGGTCCGGACCTGAAACCCGGGAAAATCGTAATTAAAAAAAAAAAAAAAAAAAAAGAAGAAAAACCAAACTCTGAAAAATTGAAACTGAGTTTTCGTGGACTTATTTGTATTTTCGGTGGACTCATTTGTATTTTTGGTGTTTGAGAATCGGGACTTTATAGACTTTATGTAGTTTTGTAATTGATAATTTTGGTTTGTATGTAATTATTAAATTATGCAACAGGTCTAAAAATCACAAAACAGGTCCATATGCAGGTCCAACAGGTTTTGTATTAAAAAAAAACGAAAAGACACAAAACAGGTCCATTCAGGTCCAAACCCGGACCGGACCTGATTTTTCAGGTCTGGCCCGGAACCGGACCTGTTAATTTAGGTCCGGTCCCCGGTCCTCATAATTACCCAATTCAGGTCCCCGGTCCAAACAGGTCCGGTCCAGGTCCGGTCCGGTTTTGGACCGGTGTACACCCCTACTTGTAACCTGCTGGCTCTGCCACTCTATGTGATCAGCCGCACAAAATACGTGTTGTTCACATTAAAACAGCCAATTAAATTACTCCGTATTAATTTTCGCTAACCGAATTAGTTTATATATTAGTCTATACTTTCTCTGTTCTTTTTTACTTGACCTGTTTCTTTTAATCACGTTTGTCAATGCAAAACTTTAACGGTCAATAAATTTAATTCTCCGTAAGTAAAAATTATAAAAGTTATATATTAGGAAATTTTGTCAGGAAAAACCTTTTAAAGCAACTATTTTGTCAGGAAAATCCTTATAAAAAAATTTTGCAACTTAAAACCTGATTTAAAAATTTTTTTGTTGAAGACAACCAAATGCCACTTTCCCCTACACTACTTCCGGTGTTGATCACACAACTTCTGGTGTTGACCCCCATGTGCCCTGCACATGTGAATTTTTTTTCTATTTCCAAAAGTAAAGTGGTCCCATTTTACACTATAAATTATTTTGTTACTATTAGTGGGGTATGGAAAGTATGAAGGAGAAAAGGTGGTGGGGTATGAAAAAATAGAAGAGAGAAAGTAAATGGGGAGGTTAATAAATATATGTATGGAATTGTAAAATGGGAAGGGTATGTCATAAAATTAGTGAAAAGTAATAAAGTTAGTGAAAAGTGATGTGGACTAATAAGGTAAGGAGAGAGAAATTATGAAATTGTGAAATGGGAGGGGTATAATTAGTATAGCACCATTTTGAAAAGGAAACTTCACATATATAAGTACTGTATTATGTTTTGCAACTAAATTAGCATTGAAACAAACAATGTACTTCAAAGTCTCAATAGTTCCAATAAACATGACTTTTACGTTACTCGCCACTCACCAAGAGATCCATAAGAACAAAAAATAGAAAGGATGAGGAAGGCGGTTTACAATAAGCCAAGTTTTGAAACTACGCTAATTTTGTTGTGCTAATCAGATGCTCAGAAAGAGCTGCAGCTATTCATCATCATCTGCATCGATATCGAAATCTTTAACCTTCACATCTGCATCTTCTCCATACTGGATGCTCATGTCAATCTGCGACAACACATATTGAATGCTGTTCTCTTTCCTCAAGTCAAGAGGTATGAAACTCACCATGCTGTATTCATCTACCAGATCAATCAAGGCTTTGTTCAACTTCTCAAACTGTGGAGCCATGCGACGATTTAATTGTGACAGTAACATCTGTGGCTCGGGGCTCAAGAAATCGTCAAGGTCTTTCTTGTTCTTCACGAGGTCCATTTTTGACATGATATTAACGTGGGGCAATTCAAGCTGGATCATTGCAGACAGAGATGACAAGCAGCCACTGATAAATTTGGTAACATCTGTCATGAACTGTGAGTCGAGCAAATAAACTACACAAACATTGAAGCTCTTACGCTGCAAGTGCTCCACAAAGTTTTTAAGAACTGGAACATGAGAAAACAGTTCAATTTGCCCAGGACAATCAAAAACCAAATAATCATCATCCAAAAAATCATCTAGCTTTTCAGTAAGCCAGTCATCGAGATTATCTTCAAGTTCCTCCATGCAGTAAATCAAACCCCCATTAGGACCCAATCCAAGTTCATCCATAACATCCTCCAAATTAATAAGTTCCCTGATATCCACAGCAACAGGATAGTCAAAGTTTTCAGCAGCAGGATCTAGGTTTATGATATTTATTGTCCGACGCATGGTTTCACAGTGTCGATACAAGCTCGAGCAGTAAGTTGACTTCCCACTTCCTGCAGGACCAATGACTAACTGTGCGTACCCCATCACAACTTTCTCAAGGTTTTCCTGTCACCAATGAGCTAATTAATCAAACAACAACAGCATTCCAATTTAAAAAAAAAAAAAAAGAATCATGAGCATGAATGCGAAAAGAGTAAGATAAGAAACAAAGGGCACACACAGTAAACATGCAATTTCCATTAAAATAAGGGGAATTAAGGGAAATCCCTGTTTAGAATTAACATAAAGGAGGCAGAGCTGAATGTAGAAAGGAATATCTTTTATTTTGAACAAAAGAAAGTGGAAGTTAAAAGTAATGGAGTCCAATAATTGACAATAAAGAGCATGACGAAGATATCTGATGAGACACCACTTCAGGAACAATCAAATTCCACCAACTCTACTAAATGCACAAAAAGATTGAGGCCTGAAATTCAAACAAGCAGTTTAATTGACACAGCACAAACAAGAAGGGAGAAAACTAACAAATGCTACTAATTAAATTACGCTTACATTTGACCAGAAGAAGCAAGACAATATCTACAATCCAGATAAGACATAGGAGTGAGAAATTTCGAGATTTTTGAAAGCAAATCAAACACTCCATTGTGAGCTACATGCCCTATCCTGAAAGGAATGCCTAAGAAGGAGAACACTCTCTTCAAAATATGAATCTTTTACCGCATTACTTTGAAAGATATAACTAATTAAAAAATGCAACTTGATAGACTGAGAAGAAACAAATTTTCAATCAAATTCTTATAGGTTTTACTGGCATGCATCCATCACCTATTAGTCTATTACAAAATTCATCCATATTTGAAATTCTAAATCACCCATCTTCCATGGCTATTGCTTGACAGATTAAGTACTACAACCAAATGCCCTCATAACTAAAATATGCACATTCCTAAAGGACCTAAACAACTAATGACTAAGACTCAATGTAGAATCAAGGTATTTTAGATGACTTAAGATGACTTAGGGCCAGGCTGGGTTACAACATAACAGGCTTGGTGGACATATTTTAACACCAAAAACTTATCAGCAGATTTCAGTTTGAATTTCATTTAGATGAAATATCGACCGGTAAGTTCATTGATAAACCATTGAATTGAATTAAAGGGCTTCAGAAAATTGTGTTAGATTTGTGGAAGTGCACTTGTGAGAGTTGAAACACGATAGAATATGCAATTTATAGCCCTTCGAAATCCTGACGTGGGGCACGAGTAAATATGGTTGAGCATCTCTAAAATTTATCAAAATTTGGGTTGTAAAAATCAAATTTAAAACATTCCAATTTACGGTAGTATACTCACATAAATAGATTAAAGTTTGCTTTCAAGAAACGCAGATGTTTAATATCAGAAAAGACCCTTTTTAAAAAATCTGGGCAGCATATAAAACAGTCTAAACCATGTTTACAGTTCACAAAACATATAGTTATTGAGTTCTAGTGAAAGAGCCTAAGAGGTGTCCATGTGCTACCTTGGTGAAATCTAGCTCAATTCGGGGTTTTCTACCCTTCAATTTGCTCCAATACTCCAACTTAGTTTGCTCCTTGAGCATTGAACGAAAATTAACAAACAGGCCACATAAGCTAAAATTAGTTTAAATTATTTATTAAGTCAAGTAAGTAAGATTCTCAAGTTAATTTTACTTTGGAACTATTACCTCTACACATCAAGGATCAAAATTAGAGTCTTATATACTTGTAATCAATATAAAAACTCATCATAGAAATTATTCATATCAAAGCTAGCATCTTAAAGCCCCAAATACATCTTCAATACCTTACACACTAATTTCAACCATAATTTTAATTAATTGACATAGTATAATTCATCAAATACTTGAAAATCAGAAAAATGGAATGAATGAAAAGCATATAAGTTAGGGTTTGCTATATAAATATAATTTAGCATCACAATTAATCAAAAAGGGGAAATAGGAAGAGAAGACGCCACTGTAATTGGCAGCAGCAATTGTTTGAAACCCTAAAACGAAAAAAGAGAAGAGAGAAAAGGGAGGAAGATTACCTGGTACTGGGTCGGTGGTCGCCGGCTCTTTTTCCGGCGAGTAAGGAGAGCACTGAATTTTTTGTGTAGGTTTTTGTGTTTATGAGAAGTGCCGAATCAAGAAACGGGAGTTAAGCGTGTCTCGAGACTCTTGCCGGTATTATATAAGGTGGGTTTACATTATTTTTATTGTAAGACAATTATTTGAAAAGTAACTTTAATCTCTTTAAAAAGTAACTTTTAATTTAGTAATCTGTTTGATTGTTTTTTAATGTGTAACTAGTCATAAACCCGTGCGATGCACAATTGTTTATTACATTATTATGTTATCTGTATCATTGCGACATTGCCGATATTGGCAAATTAACAATTTTTTCTAACACTTTTATCAAAAAAGCTCATCCTCATATATTCATCTCCTTCCTTAATAGTTACCTCGATTCGATACCTACAACAGTTAATTGCATTTAGTCTTTAATTTTACATAGTGTAATATCTAATTACTTATATCTAGGCCTTATATAATGTACGATATTTTTTTAATTGTATGTACCTTTGAATAAGGAATTCTTCTTCCTGTTGGCATTTTTTGCACATGCGTTCTTCATCTAGCTTTGTTTTGCATGCTCTACAGGATTCGTATCTCCAATCAGATTCTCTCACATGTATCATTTCAATGTGAGCATGTCAAGTGTAATTTGCTTGCATATCTTACTAAAATGAGCAAAATGTTTCGTTGCAGTGTATATATATTGATCAGAGTATATGTAGAAGTGTTATCATACTTGGTTGTCTTCTTGTGCTAAGTAAATTTGTTGCAATTCTTGTAGAGTTTTGCGATTCATGTTCATTGCTTTTTCTTGCTTTGTGGCTCTGGTATTTGAATCTGGACAACATTTGGAATAACTCTTCCCACACTGACAATTTTGTTTTTTTTTTTTTTTTTTTTTTTTTTTTGTAAGTATTTTGAATAGGTTTGGGATTAATATCCTTTAATCAAATTGCTTTTATCGGAAACAACATATCTCATATACAAAATAGCACATTGTCAACACCAAGCATAATGCAAAAAAAATAAAAAAAGTGCCCTTACTAATCTCCCTTTCTCCATGATTAAATAAACCTTCATGCATTAGACAAATTAAAAATTAGACAATATCCTACACTATCAAATATTCAAAATTGGGGAAACCAAAGGTAAGAGAAACAAAATTCCAACCTAAGTTAAAATTCATACCAATTAATGAAAGCATAAACGTTATCGGAAAAAATTCAATCATAAGCAGTAATCAATTAATCAACTTATTAAACCATTTATTTACCAATCAACAAAAGCCCAGATATTAGAACAAAATTAACTTAAAAAATTATTGAAAAATAGGGGCAAACCTGTAAGTTTCAATTAAGCAAGGGCCTTTTAAAAGAAACAACTTTGTACAAGCATCCATTTAACAATTGCCATGAAGTCATGAACCTTTAAAAAGCATTTTAGTCAAGAAATTGAAACTTATATCAGGTACATATTAGATATTGTATGCACTATAGAAATTTATTTAAAATTACTAAAAAAGGGAGAAGGAGGGGAATACGGGGCCTATTCTATCTTCATTGATGGGCATGATACTAAACTCTAATGCCCATTATTACTCAATTTATTTATAAATCTTGGATGAAGAAACTAAGGGGAGGTTTGGTTAGTGTATTTTTGGATTATAAACAGATTCGATTAAATCGATATCGTTACCGTGTGTTTGGTTCGAAGGCATGGTAACAATTACCATTACCTAAGGGTAATGGTCACCCCTCATTTGTTACTTCTCAAAAAGTTGAGGTAACAAATACCCTTACCTTCCTCTTAACAAATAGCTTTTCCATGGTTAAACCAAACAAATGAAAAGGTAATAGCTAAATGATTCATTTCCCCCCTCTTGTTTGTTTTTTTCCACTCCATTTCCATTATTCAAACCAAACGCCCCCTAAGGGTGAATCAAACGTTGTATGCAAATTTTAAATGGTGAAACTGAAAAGAAGTGTTGTTTCGGAAGGATAAGCAACCGAATGGGGTAAATTAAACACAGAATAATTTTTTTATTTTTTTAAAAAATAAAATTAAATAAAATAAATAAAGAAAGAAGAAAAAGGAAAACCCAAAAAGTGACGTGGCACTCTATATGTCTTTTAAGTTTTCCTGTTATTAATTGAGATGGAAGAGGGTTTTTTTTTTTTTTTTTTTTTGTAACTAAATAAAAATTATTTTAAAACAGGAAACAACAGGAGGAGGACAAGTGTCCCTCCAACTTCCTGTTTTAAAATAATATATAGTGTTGATTTATAATTGATAATATGATTAATCTAATACAAATACATTATTAGTGTTTTTATGGGTAAAATTTATGCGGTGCTTTTTCTATGTGACTGACCACACTGTGTGGTCGGGATTACTTATTCGGAGTTACTCAGTCAATCAGGGGTTACTTATTCAAGGGTTAATCAGTCGATCAAGGGTTACTTATAAAGATTACTTATTCAGGGGTTACTCAGTCGATCAGGGGTTACTTATAGGGGTTACTTTAACCCCCTATAACTAACCCTTGTCACACGGTTTGACTAGCCACATATAAAATTTTGTGAAACTTATGTTAGAAAAATAGTAACTTTTGTATAGTCTGTATAAGAATTTCTGTAAGAGGTTTTGATTAATCCCTCTCTATTCCTATTCACTTTCCTTTAATTATGAGAAATGTAAAACCTTATTTAGCTCAATTTATTTTTACTTAATTATTTCAGATTAAATAAGTTCAGATCAGATTAAATCAGGAAAAATAAGTTTAGATCAGATCATATCAGAAAAAATAAGTTTAGATCAAATCATCGTTTTATGTGCAGTTTTTAATCGCTAAATATCTTTAATTTCATAATGAAAAAAATTATGAAAAATACATATTAATTAAATATATATTATTACGAATCTAATAAGACCTCACTTGATATATTTTTTCATTATAAATTATCGTACACTTAAAGTCAAAGTTTGGTCAAATTCGACAATCGTATCAAATCGGACTACACAAGATCAGATCAAACTATTTCTATATAATAATATAACTATTTCTAAATAATTTTCTCTTTCGTATATAAAAAGTAAGAAGGGACTGACATTCCACTTACGATGATTACTATTTCTAATCAATAATCTAATACTAAAACAGACACTGGGAGTAACACGTGTTACATTTTGGTGCTGTTTTTTCCCTCCAAAACTCCCCTCCCTTTATAGAATTTTTTATTTTTTAGAATATGTTTGTATAATACAGCTATAATAATATTACTTCAAATCTTTTATATCTTTATAATAAATATATTCCTATTTATTTGGTTTTTTATTTTTTATTTTTTTTATTTCTCTTCCATAAACATTTACCTAAAATATTATTCTAACTCGTTTCTAACTATCTTTTAAACGGATTATTATTATATTTTTCTAAAAAAAAAGAAATAATAAAACTGATTCATATATAAAACTAGATGAAGCCCGTGCGATGCACGGGCTTCATCTTGTATTTATTTCAAATAAAATAATTACTCTCTCTCTCTATGTATATATAATAAAATATTTACTCTCTCTCTCTCTCTCTCTCTCTCTCTATGTGTGTATATATATATATATATATACTTTGTGATATTTCCTTTCTTACTACTTGAATTTTTTATTATAAAATGAATTATAAATTTTGTTATCACATTTAGATAAAATTCTTGATATAAAAAAGATAATATTTTATTTCACAAAGTTGCATGTGTAGTTGGCTACCGTGTGGTTAGGATTACTTGGTCTAGGGTTACTATGTTGTTAAGGGTTACTCGATTGATCAGGGGTTACTCGAACGGTCAGAGGTTACACGATATGGCAAACCACAAAAAACGTGCTAATTTTACTTTTATAATTAATATAAAATTTTAGATCTAAAATAAATAGTAATTCTATTTTTCATCGGCTAAAATATAACATTTTCCTATGTGACGCTCTAAAATATTTTACGTAGTGACTTTGATAATTTTTTATTTTTTATTACAATCTTACGTGGTGGCTTTAAAAAAAAACTAATCTTACGTGGCATAATCCTATTGTAGCATTATAAAAATACTAATCCTACGTGGCGGTTTTTTTTTTTTTTATTATAATCCTACATAGCATTTTAAGAACGTGCTAATTTTACTTTTATAATTAATATAAAATTTTAGATCTAAAATAAATAGCAATTCTATTTTTTATCAGCTAAAATATAACATTTTCCTATCTGACGCTCTAAAATATTTTACGTAGTGGCTTTGATAATTTTTTATTTTTTATTATAATCTTATGTGGTGACTTTAAAAAAAACTAATCTTACGTGGCATAATCTTATTGTAGCGTTTTAAAAATACTAATCCTACGTGACATTTTTTTTTTTTTAATTATTATTATTATAATCCTACACAGCACTTTAAAAATTCTAATCTTACGTGGCATAATCTTATTGTAGCGTTTTAAAAATATTAATCCTATGTGGCTCTCTAATAATTTTTTAAAAATTAAAATCCTAGGTGGCGCTCTAAAATCTCGGGAAAAAACTCCACACACACACACAAATACTATTCACATGACTATGTTATACTATTAATATATTAAATATAACATAGTCATGTTGGGTCTTATTTGATTCGTCTCATTGAGTAATTTATTAGAATTCAATAGTTATATAATTTACTAATACGCAATCAAAAATATTTATAGTCAAAGTAATGTGTTGACCAACATGTACAGTTAAAGTAAGAAGTTTATTTTGAAACTGAGGGAATATTACTTTATTTTACATGAAGAATAAATGAGAAACTAAAATTAAGAGAGAGAGAGGATGAAAAGGTATTACAATGACTACTTTGTGAATTGAAATTTACTTGTGAAAAAGTATTATGATGATTAGTTGATTACTTCGATAAATACTACCTCCATCTCTAAATGATTGTGTCTGTTTTCTTAATCGAGCGTCCCAAAATGATGTATCCGTTTCTAAGAATAGTAAATAATTTTATCATAATCCCATATGAAATACACATATATCCAAAATCTAATATTATCATCACTTAATTTTTATCATTCTTATACAATATTCTCTACTTTATTTATTTATTTATTTTTTTCTTTCTCATATAATATTCTCTACTTCTAATCTTTCCATATAATATTCTCACGCTCCTCCCATTTTTCTTAATTACATGAAAAATAAGAAACAGGCAGATCATTTAGAAATGGAGGTAGTATATTATGTAAATTTACATCGGTATCAATAGCTTAGTGTTTTAAGGCAAGTAAGTTCACTCAGGGGACAAGTGCTCTTTGTAAGCCTCCCCACCCCCCCCCCCCTCTCTCTCTCCCGAATGTAAATGTAAATGTAAATGTGTATCAAAAGCATATGATTTGACTGCATACATGTCATTAAGCCAAATCATCAAACTTTAGGGCATGCTTGGATTGAGATCGAGTATTGTGTTACTAGGGTAATAATAAATAAAAAGTCAAAGTAAACAAAATGAATATAAATATAGGGGAGGAGGAGAAAGTGATGGAGTAATTGCAAGGAGTTCTATGTAAAGGTGGTGTGGTGACAGGTGAATTGAAGATAGGAGAACTATTACCCTCATTTTGGGAGTAATGGTTACACTAGGGGGAGGGCGGGTAACTAAAACACCTTGTTATCTCCTTACAACACCACATCTAATCACTTAATTATATATGTTTTTCCTAACTTGACTTTTATTACCCCCCAATCTAAGCATAACCTTACAATAATAATATAACTAAAACTCAATGAAAGATGAAAGATGCATTAGTCTTTACAAAAGTAACTAATATACATGGAAATGGTTAGGGAAGAAGCCATCTGTAGAGCCATCAAGCAATATACAACTTGGTATGGCGGTTTATTACAACACCTTTCTTTGACATACATAAACAAAATTATTACAAGCTTACAACTCGTACCATATGATATGACAGAACTCATTTTAAGAATTGCATCAAAAATCTCTCATCAACTTTTGCCCAACCCCCACGGCACTCAGTGCCTTAAATGTTTTTATATCAACACGGACAAAATTTTTAAAAAAATAACAAGTGATGCTATTACGAGTAAGATTTTATTTGGTTGATAGCTAAATACATGAAAATTAGGAAATAAAGGTTTGAATACAAAATTAATTATGAGAAATTCCACTTCTCTCAAAATAGGGGAATTTGCTTACCTAATCTCCTTAGGGTAAATACGAAGTACTACGTATAAATTCTCATAGGAATTTCATGTTCAATTGTTTAAATGATCAACCAAACAATTTAGTTCACTTCTCTTAAGTGAAACTCCATGTAAATTTCAACTTTAGCAAAACATGCAACCAAATGACCTTGAAATCGAGGGAGATGAGAAACAAACTAACAATGCAAAGTTGGGCAAGTAGTTGTCCTCGCCTATTATTGCTAGTGTACTACTCCGTATTATTGATGAGTAATTGAGTATGTCTTTCCAAGTCAACTTCTAAGTCGTCGGACTTTATATCAAGCATAATAATTCAAGGCCTAAATAAAATTCTACGTGTAGTTTCTTAATCTATAAATAAGACTTGCACTTGATAGCCTTAGTATAACTCAATAACACATAATAGCCAAACCTCAACTAATAATGGGTGTTAAAATTTGGTCATCTCCTCTTTTCTTGCTAGTTATAACTTTAGTTTCCTTGGCCTTAAAAGCCAATGCTGGAGGAATTGCTGTTTATTGGGGCCAAAATAGGAATGAGGGAACATTAACAGATACATGTAGAAGTATGTTATTTAAGTATGTTAACATAGCATTTCTTTCCAAATTTGGGAGTGGCCAAAAACCCGAAATCGACTTGGCTGGCCACTGCATCCCTAATGGTGGTGGGTGCCAAAGAGTGAGCGTTGGCATCCGAAATTGCCAGAGCTTGGGGATTAAGGTCATGCTCTCCATTGGTGGTGGTAACGGGAGTTACTCTCTATCATCGTCCGAGGATGCTAGAGGCGTTGCCGATTACTTGTGGGATCATTTCCTTGGAGGCCAATCCCAATTTCGACCACTAGGTATGCACTGTGTACGCATGTTTTGCAATTTACTCAGATCGTAGTAATTTATGTTAAAATTTGGTATAATACTCCCTGCAATTTATTATTATTATTGTAACACTTTGGCTGACATAGAATTTTATGTCTTACTGAGAATTTCAATTTATATTTGATTTAACATATCAGACTAGATCAAATCACATTAGACAAATTAAATTGGGGGAAATAAAAAAAAAAACATAGACTAGCATTAAGTTGTGCATAAAATAATTTTTTAAAAGTGTTTTGAAATTCTATTATTCTCATCTTCTATTCATTCTTCCTTTCCCTAGTTTAATACTTAGCTTAATTATGGAGTGCATTGATATAATGATGTTGATTAATTAATTCAAACTAAGTTGGAGTAATTTTAGGAATATTGGTTTTTAGTCTTTCGTTAAGGACTTAGTGCGTGGTCATAGGATATCTAGTTGAGATGTTAGTGGGTAAGTGTGTTAGCTAGTAGTGGTTTCCATATTTGGCTTTGGTAATTTTTATGATTATCCTATTTAAACGAATGGATGTATCTCATTTTTCTGAAGCAGTAATCACAAACATTTGAAAAAATCGAATCTACAATAAAATATTGTATATTCACTACAAAGTTACCTTAAAATGATCAAAAATTACCCTTTAATGAAATAAAAGTTACCCAGTATATATAAGTTACCCTGATATAAATAAAAGTTATTTATGCTTTATTAATAAAAGTTATCCAAAAAAGTGTAAAAGTTACCCTAAATTCAACAAAAGTTAATATTACTGTACATGGGATGTATACAAATGTTTTTGAGCAATAATATATTAAACGTTCACGTAGTTTTGCTCCTTTATCTTTTTCATTAGTTTCATCTTTTATATTCAACAAATGATATGAATCATATGATCTTCTATCTTCTCACCAGGCAATGCTGTACTAGATGGCATAGATTTCGACATCGAGTCAGGTAAGCCACACTACCAAGCGCTAGCACGGAGACTCACCGAGCATGGCCAACAATCAGGGAAGAAAGTTTACCTAAGTGCTGCACCACAATGCCCTTTCCCAGACCAAAAGCTCAACGGTGCCCTAAATACTGGGCTTTTCGACTACGTTTGGATTCAATTTTACAACAACCCTATTTGTGAGTTCGATGTTAGTAACCCTGAGAAGTTCAAGAATTCTTGGAGAACATGGACCTCAAATATCCCAGCTAAGAAGTTCTTTGTTGGGTTGCCTGCTGCAGCAACAAAGAGCGCTGCTGGAAGTGGGTTTGTTCCTGCACAAACACTTATAAACCAAGTGCTCCCTTTTGTTAAGGGAGTTGGTGAAAAATATGGGGGAGTTATGCTATGGGATAGAGCTAATGATGTGAGAACTAAATATAGTCAACGCATCAAGAATAGTGTCTAATTATGTACGTGGTCAATAATGAACCTATTTAAGTTTGTGTACTCGTAATTAAGAGTCTAATTAAGTACGTGGTTAATAATGAAGCTTATATACTGCTGTACTCGTAATTAAGTGTCTAATTAAGTTTGTGGTCAATAATAAAGCTATTGAAGTCAATGCCAAATTAGTTTATGTTTATGTTAGACTGTAGTAATTAAGGTGCTAATGAAGTTTTTTTAAATTTGTAAGAATATATTACGTGTCTATGTATGAATCGTATGATGTATTTTATCTCAATTATCCTTCTATCAAATACGAATTGAGGTTTCAGTTAAAAATTTTGGATGTTAATAAGTGGGCCAACCATTTCAACCAATAGAAATGGTTGTCTATGCGGGGTACACATAGACTTTGTCTATGCTCACCCTTTAGGCCTTTACATGAGGTGATGTATTTCATAGTTTATACTTCTTAACTCTCATAAAATACAAGAAGTTTGGTCTCTAGTTATATAGAACAATATTTCACTACATTCCACTGGTTCAAACTCAATAACATGGGTCAGAAAAGCACACCACATGTTTTAAGTTGCATAATTATGGCTAATTCTAGGCTCCTGGGAGTAAGGTTAGTTCATATATACTACTAAGGTTCGTATGAAATTTCTTTCAAAGTACCTTTGAATTAATCCACATAATGTGTAGGCGAATAAAGGTGATTCCTATCCCATTGTATGTATCAATTGACTTATAGGAGACTTACATTTAGTACAGACTTGAACAATGTACAGTACATCAGACCATCAATTGTAAAACTGCAATTACTAACCTTGGAACAATTTTAAATAAAGGTGTGTGGTAATTGTAGCCAACTATTTTTCTCAAAATTCATATCCCTCTGGAGTTGTGAAATTGAGAATACAAATGAAATATTTACTAAAAGTTTGAGAAAGAAGGAAGAACAAAAAAACCATAAATGAACAAATTTGGGAGGAGTTTTTTCCAAAAAATAAAATAAAATAAGAGTAGATTTATTTTTTATGGGGAGTGAGAACAATTGAAGATATAAATTTATGTGGAAGAAAGGGAGCGGTTACTATAAGAATTTTTTTTTTAAAAAAATAAAAAATTCTTAATTTATAATTGTAGATAAGAGAGGTAATTTTGCAATTTGAGAGGAGTATGTAATTTGGGAATAGTGAAATTTATCACCCAAAATACCCTTTCACTTTATATATAGGATATAACATATTACATTCTCCGTCTTCTAATTATTGTCCTTACAGGTTTGAATGTACATATTAAGAGTAAATAGAGGATAATGTACATTTATTTATAGTTATAGTTAAGTGTAAAATAAGTAGGAGGATCTCATATCGATCATATGAGATACGATTATACGAAAAGAGTGAGAGAGAGAGTGAGATAGTTAATGGTAAATTGAGTTCACATCCATGAGATAGATGGGTTGGGTTACTTGGGTAAGATGAATTTTTCATTTAAGCCCCTTTAATATAAAATGTTTTCATAAAAAATAATTTCCAATTTCTTTTAATTTGCTTGATTGAGAAGGGGTGTTTAACAATTTTCCCAATAGTGAAAAAAATTGGTGGGAAATTGCATCGGCAGAAAATATTTTTCTTTACTACATAAGGGAAATCATATTTTCCTCCTTCCTCCTTATCTACATTTTGTTTTCCTTTCATCCATCCTTACATTATTTCCATTCCAATTTTTAATTTCTTTTAACTTTCCTTGTAACAGGCAAACAAAGAAAAATTAATTTTTTGCAAATGTGTATTTTCTTGCAAATATGTTTTCTATGAAATCTAATTTTTCAATGAAAATGTTTTACATATCAAATCAAACAGGGTCATAAGGTTAAAGATAATTATTTCAAGATCGACCAAAATACTTCGCAGCTTACAAGACACTTATTTGAGGATGGAGAGACTAATTAGTAGACTAACTTTTGACAATATATGTACATCTATGCATGTTTGGTGTTGCTGAATGCACATGTTCTATTACGTCCCTCACACAAAAGCTCTTTGGGCTTGAATTGTGGAAGGACTCTTCTGTATATGCAGCACGAGACTCCTTATACCTAGTGTAAAATATCCCACTTATAAAGAAAAGTAGATGAGATTTGAACTTATAATACTTTTGTCACATACTCACATTAGCTCTTATTACAATGTTACATGACCAATTTAATCAAAGTTTAAGGTTATGATTGAAATCAAAAATATGTTATATACTTTATCAATATCATTAATTATACATTAATTAAAATCATAAAATTTTACATTGAAATTATATAATACTCTATATAAATAATATAGAGTATAGAATAGTATAAACAATTAAATTGTGTCAACTATTCAATTTTATTTTTTGATGTTTAGAGAGTCATAAGGGCTAATAATGAGAAGCAATCTCGTAATCTCTTAAAATCGAAAAGAAAACTCTAGCTATTTAAGTTAAACCTCAATCAAATTGTGTCAACTAATTATTTATCCCAACACTTAAACGGATAAAATATACAACGTATACTTTCCATAAGTGCAATTGCATCAACAAAAGGACGACACGCTATGCAAAAAATAAGAAATCGTCTTAAAGAAGAATTTGATTTTGTGGCACTATCCTTAAAATCTTTTTACAAGGAAAACTAGAAAAAATCTACAAAAATCTAAGGAAATAATAGATCTAGAAATGACGTGGCCAGCCCCCTATCTCCAATAGACTATCCTATTTCATATTGTCCCTTTTTCACTTTTCCTTCCTCCGTGTCCTTTCTCTTTCATCCACGTCCCTCTACTTTGCTAAAATGCGCCTTTCACCCTTTCACTTCAATCTCTCTTATACTAATCCTAGATTAATCCTAATCGTCCACGTACCCCATTATATATGTAAGCATCACCCACTTGACCATTTAATATTTTGTATTGCAAATTGAAAATTAATTAGGCTATGTTCTTTTTGTATTATTTAATTATTTAAACTTGTTCTCATTGGAATTAGGTAAGTACAGAAAAATTCTTAGGAGTATTAACATAATTATGGAGCTATCTTAATTCAGGTGTATAATATAATCTTAGCTCGTCTCTTTTTAATTATGGCGTACATTTTTATTTTTAAGTTATATTTCACATATTTTAACTATATACTCCCTCATTTCCAATATATAGAAACTGTTTGTGTTTTTTCACGGTACTTAAGGAATACATTAAGGAGAAAATTGATGAAATACATTAATAAAAGTGAAAAGTACAATTATAGACAAAAGTTAGAGAGAGAAAGTGGAAAAAAGTATAAAGTATGTGCAAAATTCAAGGGTAATTTAAGAAGTATAATAAATAAAGTTAAAAAAATGAGGATATAATGGTCTTTATATACTATCCAAAAATAAAAACAGGAACAACATTTTGGATCTCTAAAATAAGAAAACAAGAACTATATTATGGGACGGATGGAGTACTTCATATATAAATACAATGTCCATAACCCGTAAAAATAAAAATAAAAAATGATGTCCATAATTCTGTTTTGTATTCCTTGATTTATGCTTTCAATAATTGGATCAATTGGACAAGATTGTATTGTAGTGAGGGGGTTGATTTAGCCCGATCATAGTCTAAAAACACGAGAACGGCTAAACAAAATGAATTTAAACAATATTTTAAGCTCAACTAAAAGTAAAAAAATTTACCAGTAACATTCAATACTTACCTATTGTAAATAAATTAGGCCATGACTAGTTCAATTTTTCGGCTTGATTAAACAAAAATTAATTTTATTTAAATGTAAATAAATTATAATACATTAATATTATTATTAATAAATAATAAAGTAAAGTCACATTATCATATATAAATTCAAATAAAATAAGTCCAAACAAAGCAATTTGTTGAGTTGTCGTAATATAATTGGACGTCAAGAGACTATTTTTTTTTTTTTTGATAGGAGGAGACTCTATTTGAACTTGCGATGATAATTGGAGAAGTGAGAGAAAATAAAAGCGAAAAAAAAAATTGTTTGGTCGGGGAAGAGGGCCCCACAACCTACTAACATACGCCGTGTAGGTCCCACTAACCCTCAATCTAACCGTCCAATCTCCATCAAAGCTCAATCTCAGCCGTCCAATTTTGTTGGTTCTCAAATATCATGATGGATATTTACCCTCCTCTTTCTCTCTCTCCTGAAAAAACTCTGGAGAATTAGGAGATGATGAAAATGGCGTCTTCAATTAAAATCTTCACTGTTCCACTTTCTCTCTCCTCTGCTTTTAGCAATTCTGCTGCTCTAATGGAAGTTCTATAGTTACGAATTAGTTTCTTATTAGTTCTCAAAATCAATTGAAAATATTCTTCCATTTTAATGGCGAAAATCATGAGATAACAGAATTAGGGATTTTTTTTTTTCGATTTTTAATTTTAGGGTTTTGTTTTTGGGGGAAAATGGAGATTGATGAAGTTGGGCCTAGTAACGTGAAGAATACTACTGATCAGTTTATTGATCGAAGCAAAGTTAGAATTTTGTTGTGTGATAATGATTCGAAAAGCTCTCAAGAGGTTTTCTCTCTCCTTTGCAAGTGTTCTTATCAGGGTAATTTTATTTAATTTGATGTTTTTAGTGTTGTTTTTAATCTTTTAATTGTTCTTTTAGTTAATTAGTTGTACTTTTATTTTGGAAATATCTGTTGGATATTTATGTTAGATATTTTTCTATGATACTTTTAGTACCCTGAAAGTGTCTAATTTACATATAAAATCTATAATATTCTTGTTATAGAAATAGTTGTTATATTGTTCCGACTCCTCATAATTAAGGATTAGCAATGATTTCGATTTCGATGAAATCCTGTAGTAAATAATAATTGTATGATTGTACCCTTGAGATCTTTTTGAAGTAATTTTTTGGATATTAGATGTACGGAGTAAATTCTTTTTACGGATATCTTAAAATAGTATATGTAACTATTATTTCTGGACGGATGTAATATTTTAACGGAAATTAGAGTACCGATATGAAGCAGGCCATGTTAATATTGCTATTTTGGGATTAGCTGTACTTTAAACTGATTTTATAATGATAAAGAGTATTGAGAGTTATGCTGAATGTTGGAAATTCGAGTTTGTGGAGTAATGTAAAGGTGATAAATGATGTGATTAGATGATATTGAATTTAGGGATAGGAAGGGTACTGCTTACGATTGAAGGATTGCAATAAGGTTTTAGGTTTCCCATTTAGTTAGTGGTTTGTGCGGATTTGAATTTTTAATATTGAAAGATGCTCGATGGATTAGAGATATGC